TAGTTCATCGTCCAATTGTTCCATCTTTAACCAAAACACACGGCCCACCAAATCTGGTCGGTCCATTGCGGTTTGTCCTGGCTCCAATTCCCTGGTGATCTCAATCCAGCTTGGGTTAGCTGTGAAAGTCAGGAAAAGATCAGGTTTTCCGTAGCGTTGCATGATTGCCAATGCGTCCTTATAGCCCTCCGACTTGTTCCGTGGGGAGCCTTGGTGTTTCGCCGAGAGGATGATCTTTTGGCCGGATGGTCCTGCAGCATTTGGGTCATTCTGATGGTCACGCAGGCCTTGCAAAGTATCAAGTCGCATTGGTTTTTGCCCTTTCTTTAGAAAGTCCAAGCGGTTTTGCTCGATTTTGATCCAGCTGTCCACTAACCATTGTTGGAACAATTTGCATGCATGATGCAATGGGTTAAATGGAACGTTTGGGCGTTTGAATACGTGATAGGCATAAAAGTCCATTTGAGTGACACGTGTATGCCCCGATCCGGCAGGTTGAACGCGGTCTAGTGCCGGATGCCAGCCAAAATCTCCCCTTGGAAAGAGGAGTGGATAGCACATCGGATCACAGTTTTTATCCAGGTAGCTGATGTTTCGAAGCCCCTGTTGGCGATCATGAACCACCAATAGACGTCTTCCTGGGATTTCCTCATCGTTACCAACGTAAATCGCGGCAACTTCGTTAGCCGTAGCGGCGTTATACCTTCTCAGATCGTCATGATTTGTCTGCGCAAATACCATTTTCACGGCTTGCATTTCTTGTCCAATTGCCTGTGCATTACGTTCTTCTTGTTGATACACTTCTTGCATCATCTTAAAAGCCCGTGCAAAAGGGTTGATCCGATTTAGCAAATCGTGTAGCTCAATGAAAATTTCTCGTTCGCATTTGCGATTAACTTGGCGACCTGCCAACTCGTTAGCGGCGTCACCGGTGTCCATGATTAGAATCTGAGCACATTGAGCCATTTGGCCGTCCTGTGGAACCAAACCGCCCACCAAGTGAACGACTTGGCCATGAACTTTGTATGGAACTGGTCCATTTCCACGTGGAGTGTCGAGCTTGGCCACAATTGAAGCCGTGGCCAATGAGCTATTGTAATTCCGGATATGCTCGCGAAATGCTTTATGGCGACGCTCAGTGCCGATCAACAGCGCTTTTAATTCAGCGGGGTAGTTGACGAAAATTTGCAGCTTAATTTTGCCTTTTCTGCAGCACATACTGAATTTGCATCTATCATTAAGTTCCTGTGGCCAATGCAAAGCATGACACTCCGTACACTCAATGTTCATGGGCCCCAAATCATGGAGGTCTGGGATTTGGTCGTGATAGCGCGCAATTACTCCAGCTGTGTTAGAAGGTTGACGCGGTCCCGTCCGAGATGGGAAAACCACATCACGGGCGGCAGCCAGTCGAGCGTCGCGTTGCTGTGGGGCTTCAAGATTTCGGCGACGGGCTTGTCTGGCAGCCTGCGCTGCTAGCCGAGCCTGTCTCTCTTCATCTGTTTCGGTCTGTCGGATTGATAGCATTCTGGCTGCGTTTTCGTGGCGCCTGTTCTGAGCTTGCTGTTGAGACTCATTTTGACGCCTTTGGGTCATGCGTAATGCATTCGCATTGCGACGGGCTTGGGCCTCGTTTTCCGTCTCATGTTGCCGAGAAACATGCATTTGCATTGAATTTGCATGACGCCGTGCTTGAGTCTGTTCTGAAGTCTCGCGCTGGCGCACTTGTGACATAATTGTCGCCTGTGTATTTCGGCGCATTTGAGTGCGATCAACCAAAGTGGTGTCCGGTTCATTCAAAAAAGAATTCGAGGACACTGGTTGGTTTTGTTGGCTAGTATTGGGTTCACCTTGAATTTTCGGCCTCTTAGTAAGTCGTGAATTCTGCTGATCGTTTCTTTTTCTTTCTGTAAATATAGCTCGTTCTTGGGGCGTCATCTTTTGCCGTACGCGCATTTGCGAGCTACGCATTTGGCTTAACCTCTGTTCCCTTTCATTTTGCGTTTCGCGAGCTCTTGCAGCCCGCTTTCTTTCTTTTTCAGTCAGCTTTCGAATGCGGGTTGAGGGTCCCGGAACATTAGGGTCACTAAAGTCCATTTCCTCTATCGCCTCAGTCAGCGTTGTACCCGGAAGGGATTCGTTGAGGAAATACGTCGTTCCGGAACTATCGTCCCTTGTGTTTTCACATGTTTTTTCCTCCTCATGGGTTACTTCTCCATTATCATTCAAGATGTTTTGGAAATGATCCTGGCGGGTGCTTCCAAGATCAAACATGTTAGGATTGACGAATTCGCCAATAACATTAGTTGTGGCCGACATATGGGCCGTGGTGTATTGGCTTACAAAGTCACCCATTCGGGATCCTTCTCCACCGTTCTTTGGATGGCTTCGGATTACACCCCCAAGGGCTCCTCCTCCACCGTTTGTCATTTCGGTTTCGAATTCACCCCGAAGGGATCCTTCTCCACCGTTCATTGTGTTGGCTTCGAATTCACCCCGAAGGGATCCTTCTCCACCGTTCATTGTGTTGGTTTCGAATTCACCCCGAAGGGATCCTTCTCCACCGTTCGTGTGTTGGGTTCCGAACGGACCCTGATGGGCCCGATCTCCCCCTTTTGAGCGGTACTGGCTCAACCCTTCGCACAAAGTATGCTCCGGGTTGGCACGGCCGAAAAAAGACATAGATGCAGCGGCAATGGGCAGGAGGCGGGGCGGGTCGTTGACGTGACGCCCGTCCTTCACGGGGGTGTCGTCGTGACCCGTCTCGTGGCCGTCCATCAGCAGCAAGGCGAGGAAGACGAAGGCACGCAGCAGGCGCATAACCTCCCACGGGTGTGGTCGGTTATTGTAGGTATCATGTTTGCAGCCAGATTGATTATATACGTGAGAAGCAATGTAGAATGGGAGCTATTTCCGGATTTAAATTCGAGCTACGCGAATACCGTAAGGAAATTTGCCCATCAGGGTTGGGGTCAGCATGAAAAGTTTCTGGACCGCTTTCAAAGATTTGTAGCAGTCGTACCATGGGGGTAAGCGAGGGAGACTTGAACAGTACGTTAGCATTGCGATCAATTCGCGAGTCTAAGTCGCCGAATTTCGAATTTCACACGCTTTGCATAGCTACTTTACAAAATCTTTACAAATTGCAAAATCTGGCCCGCCCGCTCTGCCGTTCTAAGCTTTGCATATTCCTTCACAAAATCCTAATGAGAAAAAACTGAAAATGACTGCTTCTGGCCCTTTATATAGGCTCTCCCCACTTCCGGACTATGCTAATTGTTTCCTAACAAAGAGGGTGTCCGAAATTTTTACAAAAACTGAAATTTAATGTTTAAAACAATTAATTTTGTAAAATCTGATAAGCGTGCAGTCATCCCAGAGACATTACGTATCTAATGACGTATCATATATACCTTAAAATTTATTCCCTATCGAGATATCCTCCGGACATGGTGACGGAAGTTGCATGCAAAGTATCACACACACACACACAAACACTATTTTTTTATATATAGTAGGAATAGTAGGATAAAACCTTACCTAGACTAATAGTTTTAATTAAATTAAGTGAATACCTTTTCGACGCACCTACCCCCTACGCAAACGCCAAGGTAGCACACGTCCATCGGCGCCGATTGCTCGAAGCCGGCACACTAATAAACGGGTTTAGGCTAAATGGAACCAACGTACAATTCTCGTGGCAACAAAAAGTGCGAAATTCCTTTCAAACTCTTAAAAATGTCACAAAATGGGGAACAACAAAAAGTTGCTGGCTATTTAAAATCGTGTTAAGCCTGGTACTGCCCCAGATATGCAAATTTTTACGACGAAAGCTGGTGGGCGACAGAGATAATCTAGAGATTAATTCTGAGAAGGTGGAAACGCACCATAATACAGGCACTATTAGTCGCCGCACCGGCTAAAACCTAGAGCTGCCGCTTTTAATAAGGTGCCAGCAACTTTTGGTTGATCCCACATTTTGTGACATTTTTAAGAGTTTGAAAGGAATTTCGCACTTTTTGTTGCCACGAGAATTCGTCTCTTTTTGCGAAAACCAAAAGCCCTTTTTTAAAAAGACTCTTTTTAGCCTTAGAGAGAATTTAACCCTTTTTGCTTTAATCTTGTTGTTAAAATATAAAACAAGCCTTGGTATATTTATTCGGACGAACCCTTGTACGCAATACTACAAAAAATTTGCCTGCGGCGCCTTGTAAGGGCACAAAAAAACATAACGATGTATGGGGCCTAATCGGCAAAACCATGTTGCGGGTGGGGTTCGAACCCGGGAGGCACGTTTCCCCAGTACAGGGTGCTAACCACTAGGCCAACCGGGAGATTGTAGGCCTGTCTTGGGGGAGCTAGACCCGCCCTGCTGACTGGGGGCCGAGAAAGGGGAGGGTGACGCCCCGTATGGCGAAGGTTGAAAGTTATAATAACTCAAAGGAGAAAAAGAAGCCTTCTTTCGATGCAATTTTTTCTTTACTTATTCCGGTATGGTGTGGTATGGTGTGGTATGGTGGTTTGAGCAAAATTTCAGCCCGAACGGACATCACTAACCCCTGTTTTGGACACAATTTAGCTTCTAAACTTAAAAATTAAATATAAATTTTTTAAAAACCTATTTTGAAAAAAACGCTTCTTCCTCACCTTCATTTACATCAAGTCGATATATGTGGTAAATTTCAGCCCAAACGGACCATGGGAAGGCACTTTTTGACGACTACAAAGGTTTTGCGTACGCACAGACACAAACAAACGCAGACCCCCCCCCCCCCTCGAAACGCAATTTAATGGCTGTTAAAATTCGAAATTTCACTATTTTTCAAATTTTAAAAGCTTATGGTATGCAAAAAGTGTCGCCGGTTCCGGTGGTGTAATCAGTTTTGCGATCCGATGCTTGGTTCTTTTTTAAATCCGGAAAAGGACCCCAAAAGAGTCGTATGGGGAAGGGGGGGGGGGGGTACCTCAAACCAAAAGGGGTTAGCGGGCTACGCCCGCTAACCCCGACTTCCGCCGACACGGACTTTTGAGACGCATTGCGGAGCGTTGGGATCGCGGGTATCGCAGAAAAGGAGTCTGAAAGATCCTACCTTATATAATTTTGGCGTGTAACTGTGTGTGTGTGTGTGGATGTCACTTTCGAGGCCCGATTTGAGGGCCTTCCCGTGCATAAAATGCCCTAATTCTCCGTCACCCGGGGGAATCGACCCTTCTGTTTCGGATGGCGTTGTCAGAATTGCGATAGAATACAAGTTTACAAAGTTAAAGCCGGTTTTATTCATTTTTGGGGTTACTGCGGGCTAATTTGCATAATGCGGAAAAATACAAATTTCCTCATTCTTGCCAGTTGCACTCGCGTGTGTGGCCGGTGGGGGGAAGGGGGTCCGAAGGACCCGAGCTATCGGGAAGTCAAATTTTTCATGCAAAGGCCGCATTCCAGCGCCCAAGGCCCGCGAAGCGGGTTTTGGGCGCTGGTGACTAAATAAAGTAGAACACAAACCTGCTCCCCTCACAATCGGCCGTCTCCTTGGTGCACCGAGGGGCGGGCCAGTAATGATACAAATTCCGCGTGTACGCGTTTGAAAGCCCGTCAATGTTCCTGACAATCAGTTGTGTGTTTCAGTAATTGTGCTAGTCGAAGGTACACCGTATTTAACCCCTTTTCACGCCCCTAAATAACGATCAAAACATACCGTAACCGGAATGGGTACATCAAAGTCGTTGCCCGATTCGCTATGTTGATACAAGCGTCGTTGGGATATTCGGAATCGCGTTGTTGTTCTGTCTAACGTAGGAATGTGCTGGTGTATTAACCTGGGGAGCGTAGCGTTTAAAATTTTTGGTAATCGGAAATTAGTTTAACACTAAATAGTTTGTTTTATTATATTGAAGGTTCGGCCAAATGGAAGAATTTGGATCTCCTCCCCCGCTAATGCACCAGAACTCAGACGATTTGAGGACTTATATAAAAGAGTATCTCTACTTGATGCAACATCCGCCATCCATCCCAGATGAAATCGATGAAAGCGTGGTGGAGCAGAAAGGTCGGATCGCGGGATGACCATTGCACGAAGCACATGCCACCTAAAAACTGGTCATTTTACAGGTTTAGCAAAAACGAAGGTAGAAGCCAAATCTAAAACGCGTACCGCCAACAAAATTGTGAACATGGTTATGCTCGATGTCGAGCCAGTTGTAGTTGATGTCACCGCAGCCCTTCGTGGAGATCTTCTTCGATTGTGCCAGAACCTCATCTACCGTCGAAAATGATAGAGCGTTCTAAATTGAGCGTCAATCTGGAACTGAAGCTTTAAAGTTAAAATTTAAAGCTCAAAAACTTGCCCCAACGCCTGCAATCGTCAGTGGATGAGAATTGGGGAAGACGCCGACTTCACGAATGACGCCAGACTTCTTCTAAAGGGAAGAAATTCAAGCAATTCCACATATTTTGATACCTCCTCATTTTGCCACCCCTCAAACGCGCCCGTCGTGATCGGGCCAAACGTGTTTCCGAGCACTTCGGGGCTAAAAATGCCGTATATATTGATTAAATAGACTCAATTGATGATTCTAAAAAAGATGGAAAATTGCAAGTATTATCATGATCCAGAAGTACCTCCACATGACCGAGTCAGCTGGCAGTGGCAGCATGGCAGCGATGGTTGAATCCCAGAACGGAATCGAGATGTCGGCATCAATCCGGCGCAGTTCTAACTCCAGCCGAAAAGCGTTGTGGTACTAGGCTGTTAGCAGGGGGGGGGCTAATATTCTAATATCACCCCGCAGGTTCCAATAATGGAATACATACCATTTATGTAATTATTACCGTTTTTAAGCCGCGAAACTAGATAAATATTCAAGCTTTCGAAAATCTTTGATTTTTAGAAACTTAAAATGTTCCAAAATTGTTTTATGATTTTTGATAATCAAAAAAGACAAAAGCCGTAAAAATACACTATAAAACACTGGAAAGTTGTCTAGCCAGCTGCTGATGTAGAAACCTACCGCTTCAAATGTTCACGGTGCCACGGCAAGAAATTCGAGCCCTGATGCGCCGTCCCGCGCGTTGACATTTGCTGGTGGATGTCGGCTAGAAAAAGAATACATATTCTCCAATTTTGAAATCATATAAACTTACACCATCTATCGTAAACTCCATTCTTTTTGAGCAAGTTCAACGCGTCGACGAAGCGTTTCCGCTCGGCGTCGCTCAACATGCGAAATTCCTTGCGTGGCACGTTTAAATAGCTTTTTATTGTATAGGAATGGCGCATTAGTGATTTTTCCTCAAAAATAATATATTTTAGAAAAAGAAGAATACCTAATAGATACTTGGAAATGCAAGGATAATCGATGCAATCGGCCAGAACCATTGGTTGAAAGCTTGAAGCCGATAGTCGGCCCTTCACCTTCAGGTGTTGCGTCTCGTTTTTCACAGTTTCGTCGCCCAACTAAAAACTCATTATATAAAAACAGAAAAACATAAATAAAATTCTTCAGGCTGACCCGTGAATTTTTGCCCATATGGAAGGCCTTTTCACATTCGAGTCGTTCGCTGCGATGGCTGGCGTTTACACATAGGCCTGAAAAGAGGCTTCGGGTTCTTTAGTAAGTGCTTTCCGGGTCATCCAATTCTTCTAATACAGAGGAAACTGCCGCTAAACTGACTTTTAGAGTATTCCTATGCGCAACAAAATATAAAAAAAATCGGATAATATCTATTTCTACCACAGATTTCATGTTTTTAACAGTTTCAAAGGTTTTCTAATGAGCTTTTCCACCCAAAATATGGTAAAGTAGAGTAAAGGTCTATAAGAAAATGTCTGAAACATAAAAAAGCTTCTTTTGTACCAAAATGTCCGATTTTTAACGTTTTCTAGTTTTTCCACCTCAAAGGTCAAATACTTGCTAAGAGAATACAAAATAAAATACTATAGGGATAATTCGACCCCCCCCGAAAATGGAAAAGAGCTATGATTCCTGCTAGGAGAAGCTTACCATGAGGGACAGCGCTCTCCATCGAAATTGAAGTCGGGAAAACATTGTTTACATCACCAACTGAAATTTGACCAATTCCCAGAGATATGCCGCGTTAGACACACCATCTTCCAAAAGCCCTCCAAGTTCGGGCAGATTAGGCAATGCCCCCGTCAAATTATGCTCCTCGGCCACCGTAACCCATGCAAAGAGTGGGATGAGGAAAAGCCATCGAGTCGATAGGCCCATTCCGAATATAGTGGCCCACTTTGATGCCCCACCCTCGCCCCCATTTCCATCTTCACAAACTGTGGGAATCGTCATTTAGTGCCCGCCTATGGCACAGACGCACACAAATAAAAATAAGACGCCGGGCGTTTATGCCATAAACTTCACAGAACTGCAAAAAAATGTGTAAAACTTAAGCAATGCAATCAGTCAAGCAAGGGAGTGGGAGCAAAAGAAGAGATCACAAAAGGTAATGAGGTAACGTAGTAGATTCAGATTTAAAGCATATCACTAGTAATTACAAGCAGATTCTATGTTACACCAAATGTTCAAATTCCACTCATTCCTTTGTATTTCGCAGGAATTTTTTAATATTGCCGGCCGGCGCTTTTGATTTTTTGGCAGACTGGTTTTGTGTGTTGCGCTCTGGCTGCTTCCGTTTCGTGGCTTTTGTGGATGCCTAAAAACATTAGAAAACTGGGTTCTTGGTTATTAGCGGGGGAGGGAGGGGGGGGTAGGGGAGCTGACTTTGTCCTGCCGTCATAAAAGTTCATATAGCTTGTTATAATGTTCTTAAGTATAGAAAGGTCATAAAAAATCCGAAAACTAGTTTTTGGCCAAAACAGTATGGGAATGGGCAAAAATTTGAAGTTTGAAGTTTCCCAAAAATCTTTCTATTACATTTATAGTATGCGAAAAACTATTCAAAAACCGTCAATTCCATCTAGGTATATGCTTTATATCCCCCCCTAACAGTCCAGTACCGGTCACTGAGGAATGACAGGTAACTCTTACCACTGGTTTCGCAGTTAACGAAGTCCCAGGCTTCAACGACCCAATTAAATCAGCGTTGAGACACTCGTCCAAGTGTGAATTCACCTCGCGCTCATCATCCACCGGTAATATCTTGTTGCATCGGGCAACCGGCTAGATTTACGAATTGCTAAATAAAATGGCGGATTGTCTACCTTCTCATCTCCATCTGAACTGAAGAGATCTTCCGAATCACTGGCATGTCGCTGCTTCTTGCTTGTCTCGGGCTCAGCCTTAAAAATCATATAAAACATCGGGTTACACTTTACTTTGCCCCCTCCCCCCCCACCCCAGCCGGACCGGAATGTTTTGGCTAAAACTTTTTTCTTTATATTGTTGTGGTCTTAGATTAAAACTCTTAGTATATTTTTCGACGGTCTATCGAATGGCGTTGCAAAAATCCCGACAAAATAAGCGAAAATACTGAAAACTTTCAGACCCTTCGGCTGTCGGGGGAGGTAATAGATTTGCCAGACATCGCAGTGGTTGAATCAAATGGCTCTTGCGTAATATCGGGGGGGGGCGACTTTTTCTCAGGACCGAATTTTGCAAATCTCTACAGCGGAGCAAAAACAAAATACAAATTTGCAATAAAAATACCAAAAATACAGATAGATAACAATACCTGATCCTTCGCCGTCAAATATTGATCTATGCGGGTTTTCTTCTGCGTGTCATCATCGAGAAATTCAAGTTTCGATAATCTGACCTGAAAACAAGTAGAAGCTAAGAAAAGGCAAAGAACAAACCCCAAGCAATCGAATCTCCGGGCCAAGCTCTTTTTTCAAAATCTCTGCCGTAATAAAAATATCATCAGCTGAAAAATCGTCAAAAATCTAGTCAATTAAAAATGGTATTTACCTGAATTTGTCAGTTTATCGACCGTATGCGCCCTCGTCATTACATCGAAAGTCGCCAATGTAATCTGGAAGTTAGGATTATTCAAGTAATTGCGAAAAAAAGTACCTTCACAGCAACATTAAAGCCTCCCCGAATCTGGGCCCTCTCCAGCTGGCTAGCCAAGTCGTCGCTGAGCTCGCGCAGCTTCTCCAATAGTTTTGCCATTGACTGCAAAAAAGTACCTGATTTATAAATACAAAAGCACCTTTCTCCGATCATCAGATGGCCCCGATGAAGCTCTTTGTAGGCCCATGTATCAACACGGTGGGCGAGATGTGGGAGCGGCGGGCGATATTGGCAGCCATTTTCTCCCCTCATTCCGGAGAGGGCTTCCTACGTGACATGCCTTGCCTGCGCTACATGTCAGCCCAGTTGCTTGATCAAAACGGTACCGGATCTCTCGCACGATCTAAAACCGCTGTAAATATCAATACGTATTATCAGCGACAGACCTCTTAACGCCCGATCCCAAACTCCACTTGATCCTGCACGATCCATCGCTCCTTCGAACATTTCGGGCAATTCGTTTTACTAGGGAAGTGCAAATAAAAAATCCAGCAAACCGCTTAGCAAAACAATGGGTCTGATAGAGTCGGCGACGGGGATTCCGAAACTGCAACCGGATTTTGCAAAACGCTTAATACAAAAAGTTATGAGCATTTTAAGTTTTGCACCACTTGCTCGGCCCTCCCTTATGAGCCCCTCCCAAAGAGGGGTGACCGCCTGTCGAGTGGTGTAGTGGCTAACTAGCCTGCCTCTGGGGCGGAGGGTCTCTGGTTCGACTCCCCGGTCATGCAAAACTTTTTGGTTTTTGCTCAAAGTCAACTACTTCACACTTTTTCAAAGTTTCAAAGTCGAAAAGATCTTCATTTTTAAATTCATGAAACCGATTACAAAGTGGTGGCGGGAGTGCAAGTAATTTTGCAGGTAGGGTACTAAAAAAATTCACCTCTGTTTTTTCGTAAGGTATGCCTACACGCAGTCAATAATATAGAAAATGTTAAAAATCTAAATTTCGGTCTTCGAAACTTTGAAAAAGTGTGATTGTTGACTTTGACCAAAAAACAAAAAGTTTGCATGACCGGGGACACGGCATTCCACAAAGGCACGGATAGGCCCCTCTGGGGCCGTGGCGCAACCGGGTAGCGCCGATGCCACGGTCCCACGCACACGACCCCGGTTCGAATCCCGCCGACAACATTTTTTTTTTTGCTTTTTCGCCCAAAGCAGGGAAACGCTTTTTTATTTCATCGGATAAGAAAGATTTGTACAGAAACTTAGTAATGAAGCGAGAAACTGAGATTGTTGCAAGTCATTGAGGTGCTACATTGCCGAATTTTGTGCCAAATAGCCAATCCTAAGCGTTTTTTGCACAAATTTCCCTGGTCTGGGGGTAAACAACCCTAATTCTTCCAAATAAAAGCTCAGGTTTCCCAGAAAATATTTCATTTCCGCGTTATCGAAAACCGCACAATTTTCCTGAACGAAACTTCAAACGATGATCAAAAAAAAGTACCAGAATAGATTTCCGACATTTAGGTCTCAAAAGCTGCGCCTTGGCGTCAAGATTATTTAAATCTAATTCGTTTTCCAAAACTTCTATGAAACTTTCGAGAAAAATACGATTTTGTCTAAAAGTTTGAAGATTTTGCTTTGGGGGCGCCACAAACACGTAATGAGCGCACTGATCCATTGTGCAGGGGCGCTCTCCGTAGCCTAAAAGCTATCCGTGCCTCCCCGCTAAGGACTGGAATTGCGTGGGGAGTCGAACCAGAGACCCTCCGCCCCGGAGGCAGGTTAGTTCAGGCCTGGGAATTTTTAGGGCCGGCCCAGGGCCGGGCCGGGCCGAAAATTTTGATCTTAGGGCCGGCCCTTTCCCAGGCCTGGGTTAGTTAGCCACTACACCACTCGACAGGCGGTCACCCCTCTTTGGGAGGGGCTCATAAGGGAGGGCCGAGCAAGTGGTGCAAAACTTAAAATGCTCATAACTTTTTTGTATTAAGCGTTTTGCAAATTCTGATTGCAGTTTCGGAATCCCCGTCGCCGACTCTATCAGACCCATTGTTTTGCTAAGCGGTTTGCTGGATTTTTTATTTGCACTTCCCGTTAGATTTAACGACGGCCTCACTAAAAACTGGCAGCTGATCGATAAAAGGTAAACCAACAGTTTGCTGCCCTTCTCTTTCTCGAATTCATCTACAGTGATGTGGGGTAGTCGGCAGGAGCAATCCCCGGAATACCGTAGCCGCGCGTATGCTTCTAAAAGGGGGAAAGTAGTGTGCAAAACGCTGCCAACTTGGAACAGCCCGCTCGGCCACATATTCGGTGATGTCAAGGTAGGCCTCATCTAGGGAGCCCATGCTCAGCTCGGGGTCGTACTCCTCGAAGATGCCGGAAAAGACCTAAAATATTTTTCTAGCTAGAAAACGCAGCAGAAAATGTAGCGAAAACCCACGCGACTTTCCGCGCCATATTTCTTGTAGTCTCCACGAACGATTTCCAGCTCTGGGCACAATTTCTTGCCGATAAACCCGGGCATGGCGGCAAGGACGCCAAAACGACGGGCCAGGTAGTTGGAGGTGCTCTGAAAATATAGACATTTACTCGGTCTGAAAGACACTAACACCTTTTTTTTGGAGCGGCACCGACTACAGATCAAAATCAGAAAATCATATTTGCATTTAAATTTTTGAAAATTCCCGGAAGCGATACCACCCCAAAAATCAAAGAAGCCCAGCAATCACTTTGACAAGCGGAAAGCAACTGCTGGGATCGAGTGCTGCCCGAACGAGTCGAAGACGCGCGGAGCCCCCGCCATGCCGCCTCCGCCAGAGCCGAACAGCGAGGAGAAGTCGAAAAGTCGCAAGACCCAGTGCAATACGAATGAAGCACGATCCAGGTGAGTAGCTATAGAAGACTCAAAGTACTACCCCTGCTCACAGAAAGAACAAGAGCACGAACGCCTTGGAGTCGGTGCCGGAGAATGTGATTGAGAAGAAGACTGTCGTTTACAGACTTGCTGCCGGGGAACTGGTAAATATATCAATTCTTCAAACCCTGTCGATTCCAGTTCCCAGACAAGATCAACCACAAGCAGCAGATCTACAAGGATATCCCGAATCCGTCGAAGGGAGATGCTCTCGTGGCGGGGGACGTCATCAAAGTGGTACACTTCAGCAGAATTTGAAGAGTTCGCCTGAATCAAGATAAATGACAAAGAGGTGACTACGAGGAACGTGTGGACCGAAGAAGTGCGAAAGCTGGCCAAAAAGAACGCTACGACCGACTACGATATTACGATCACGTATTTGCGACTGATTGGCAAAGTACCGATTGGGAGCGGTTCGGAATTCATTCCGGCTGCTCATGATATATCGGTTCGTATACTATTACCGTATCTTCCCTAATTTAAGCATCGGTGATGAACTGATAGCGGGGGGGTTAATTTTGTTTTTCTACCTACTTGTTGATAAGATATTATGAACCTGTATAGTTTTTTTACGTAGTTTTTGATTGCTAGAAAGCTACGAAAACGATTTGTAACTTTTTTGAAGCTTCGAAGATTTTTTACTCTTTTTTGGGTCATTTTTCGTAAATTTTTGACCACAAAATCTAAAGTTTTCGAAAACATTAATAATTTCTATGAGTTTTATTCTAAAAACCAAATGAAATACGTTAAAAATGGCCTATATCGGTTTAGAGGGCCGTACGGGATCATTTGGGAAAATTTGGTTGAGCCCGTTAAAAATCCGCCACGACAAAAATGTTGTCAATTTCAGCTCGGCTTCAGCTATCTTATCGCCCATATGATCATGTTCACTAAAGGCCGTCTTGGCATTGAGATCAAGGGCTACAATGGCAAGGTGAGCTGAGCTCTTTCTACAAACGTGACGAGGACTCAGGTGTATATCACATCTGTCGACAATGGCGAGAACAGCGTTGGCAAGCGTGTCCTATGCGTCGGTGATGCGATACTGGCTGTCGGGGAGACGTCAGTGGCGAATCGCCAAACGTGTCGTGAAGCCCTGAATGAAGCGTTCGAGAACAAATACTACGTAGGCCTATCATGCGTGAATAGTGGATTTATTTATCAACCTGAATAGGCGTGGGTGGTGATTGAACGCGCCGAGCAAGACACAGCGGCAGCCCTGGTTCGACAGGCGTTGGCCTTCAACAAAAAGAATGAGCCGGACATGCGGTTGGCGGACGATAACCTCGAGATTTGCGCGTATGTTTCAAGCGTTTTTCGAATTTTTTATTATGGAAAGGTATGCTGCGTAAACAAAACGTGTTTTCATATAGTTTCGGCAAAATTCAACGCTACTTGAAACTTACCAAAAAACCTTTGAAAAGCGGAAATATTAGCCATTTGGGGTAAAATAGCTATTCGAATGTTCAGTTTTACGCCCCGGAATAATAAAAAAACGATCGAAAAGACCTGGGCTTTCACCGCTGGTCAGGCAAATGAACCTTATTTTTCAGCAAAGAGCTGTTGGCGATGAAGGAGCGGGCCAAGTCCAAGAAAAAGCCTCGTTCGATTGAGCGCGACCCGAAAGCCTCGAAGCGCCGCCGCCGCAATGATCTCAAATTTAGCGAAAAGCTGAAGGTCGAGAAGCCGATTGGTGGGTCTAGGAACCAGGTACAAAACATAAACCCCTTGCAGAAATGGATCAGACGATCAACCCAGTATTACTTCGCCACTGCCCTCCGCTGCCCGGATTCGGCGTCAACGATTCTGCCACAAAAAGCAACAGCACGAGCAACAGCACCAGCAGCACCAGCAAAAAGAAGAAGGAACCCAAGGGAAAGAGCGGAAAATCTCCAAACTCGGTAGTTGGATAGAAGGCAGTCCTCGACAATGTAATATCTTTAGGCCGTCAGCACGAGCATCCAGGGAAAAGCGAAGGCAGCGAGTCGCAAGAAGCGCTAAGAAGTCATGTCCCTATTTTAAGAAACTTAATTTCATCCTTTTTACGAAATAAAAACTTTGTCTGAACGGATTCTATGCTTTTGAAGCTTCACTGACAGTCTAACCGAACCTAGCCTGGACAAATCTCTTGGAAAGTCAACAACCATACGAAAATCCAGGCATAGTAAATTTCGGCAGCGAATATCGATATATGAATTTGACATTATGAAGCTCTCCCTTTTGCTTTGAAAATAAACCAAACGAACCAGCATAGGAAAACTGCCAACAGCCATTGGTATCGTGCGCAACCGGGGCTCATCCCTCATCTCAACGGCCGCAAAGAACGCATCCATATCGATGTGAACGCAGTGTCGCGACAACTCCCGTGATGCTTCCAGCACTGATGTACGCTCATCAACCTGTAAAAAGAAATAAAATAATCTCCGAAATTTTCTACGAAACAACTCACCCCCGCTCGACCACACAACTGCTCTCACCTCTTTCCAAAGGCGCTCCAAATCGTCTTCTTTGAGCTTGGCAATTGTGGCCTTGATCTCGGCATTCCGCTTATCCATTCTGTCTTGCTTCTTCTTGGAAAAAGCATTGTACTTCTCGCCGGTGTTCTCTTCGATGATCTTCGCGATTTTCTCCTACGTAATGGCTTGTATCTGCAACAACGTCAAAATATACCTTATCTATGCCTTGCATGCCCGCCTTTTCGCCCAATGGAAAAATTTTTGTTAAAGAGATGAGGACGGCATCTGTTGAACCCCCTTGGGGAGGGGGGTTCAACAGGTCCCAGCGCGACCGGCGGCGAGAGAAGGGCGCCCAGAGGAGAGGCGCAGAGACATTTACTTTCCCTCGCGTAATCGATTGACTTATGCCGCCCCTATCTCTTTAAAGGGATACCCAATGTTTTGGCAGCAAATATATAGTTCTTTTTGCGCGCTCCGTTGCGCGACCAAATGCGCGGGACCGGAGACTGGCAGGGATTCGGTCCCGCGCATTTCGGGGAGCGCCGGCCAAATGCGCGGGACCTGCGAATGCGCGGGACTTTGCGCGGCTCTCGCCGTCAACTGGCCCAGGGGCGCTTTTCCTCCCTTTAAAGCTCTTATATTACTTATTAAACCTGCGTTAGGAGCAGGTATTACTGTGAGTAGATGGAGCCTGAGTACCTATATATTTATACCGGGGTAATGATACAAAAACAGTTTTAAAAGATTGTTTTCCGCAAGAAGAGTTGAGGTGCTGTCGATGAACCTAAACTTGTCCTTGGTATTTAAAAACTAGCTTTTTATAACTGTTGACTCACCTTGTTCCAAGTGAGTGCTTACGAATTGAGCTAAATCCTATTTATTTTGTTAGCTAACTTGCTAGATAGATTCAGACTTACAGTATTGGTTCGACTTACGCTCGCATCACTTACGTTTTTGACTGACCGTGGTCATTCGTTGAAGAGATAGTTGTTTCTACCAGCTTCTTTGCCTAAATTCTCCCGATAACAATAATAAATTAGACTTACTTCTCATCATACGCGTTTCTTCTTGTAATTATGCCATATGCCACATATTACCGACACCGGGGCCTTTGACGGTGCATTCATTAAACTGAGAGTGAAGTTTTGTAGAAAAAAAATAAAAAAAACTTGCCGAAGCTTCACCATGGAGGGTTTGACATCAAAGTATCAGCATTTGCAAATCCTAAATTTCCTGAAAATGATTAATAGCCTCGCCTGATACCTCCGACCTTCAGTGCAAAAAAACAGCGTTGTTTCCATGGAACCAACGTATGGATCCAGAAAAGAAACAAGTTTCTATAAATAAATCTAAATTTAACGAAAATTCGCTAAATGCCTCGAGTTTTTCATGCAGTACGTTTAGAAACCATGCACGACATGCGCGGGACCGCGCATGCTCCTTCCGCGACTGATTGCGCGACAGAAAGCGCGGTCCCGCGCATTCCGCCGCGTCACTCTCGCGCATTTTCCGAGAGCCGCGCATGGGGCCGCGCAAGCCCAACTCCCGCGCAACGGACCGCGCGAAAAGAACCGAGCGAGGCGCAGAGACATTTTCTTTCCCGCGCGTAATCGATTGACTTATGCCGCCCCTATCCCTTTAATATTCGGAATGGGTGCTAATGCACCTGGGGGGCACTCCAAAATTGGTAGTAAGGACGGGCGTGTTTTTAGCCCTCAAACACAACGAGTCACCAACGGGCAACACCTGTTTACACTCCGTAATCGATTTCCCAAACCCATTTAATTGTAACTAAAAACTTAGAGACTCTAAGTTAGCGTTATTAAGATAGTCAAAACGAAAGAAGCAAGTTCTAGAAAAGATACTGACGTGAAACGAGTATATTTTGCGGGTTTCCGGCGCAAAGACCATTTTGCTGATCCGTTGCTCATGAGTGACGAATAAGGATCGTATAATCATGATGAAGGACAGTCAAAAGAGAGCCGCCAGATGTTGTGAGTAAATCTTATGGAAGCTATGCACTTTGCTGATTGATGCTCTGCAAAAAGCCGAGCGTCGCCGGGAGTTTAAAAATGATGTGCCACTCGAGCATGCGCAAAACACTGTTAATGATAGGGCCATTGTGAAGTGGTTGTCTGATTTTGTTTCTTCGGCTACCGTTGCTCCTTCAGTTCGACATATCCAGACTCTTCTATCTATTTTCCTATCTATCCTTTATAATGAGGTATTTGGGTAATTCGCAAAAGATTCGCGAGCATTGGATGTACGAGGGTTTACCAACCGTAAATACTAGCAAAAATTAAATAGAACCTCTTGGTGACTATATAAGAAGCTTTTTCGCATTAGAACAGATATTAATATTCGTTACTTTTGTTGCCTCCTCCCTCGTTCCTTTTTGCTATCCGTAAAATTGGTGAAGGTGGTCGAATCACGCAAAATGGCGGAAGTATCATTACCAAATCAGTTCTAGAACTATGTTTTTCGTTTATTATTATAAAAAATAACCCTTAGAAGTTTTTTAGTTACAATTAATTGGGTTTGGGAAATCGATTACGAAGTGTAAACAGGTGTTGCCCGTTGGTGACTCGTTGTGTTTGAGGGCTAAAAACACGCCCGTGTGTTTGAGGGCTAAAAACACGCCCGTGTAGTAAGGGGTTACGAGACGCTCCGCTTAAGTTACTTGGTTTTCGCCGCTTGCTGAGGCTTAACTTAGCTTTAACTGGCTTACCTTAAGCTTAGGCTTAAGTTTAAGCCTGGGTTGGCTTATCTGAGCTTTAAATTGCCTCAGGAGGTCAAAATAGGGGTCATTTAGGGTTGGCTTAGAGCTTGTTATGGTTTGTTTGTGTGGGGCTCCAGGTTTGTATGAAGCCGCTTCAGGCTTAGGCTTGGTTTAGGTTTTCCGGAGGTCGAGTTTAAAAACGGCATTTGGAGCATCTTGTAAGGAAATTAGGGACTGTCCCCCCAAGGCATTAGCAGCCGGAATGTTATGCGTATGTAAAGACTTTTGTTTTTGTTTTTTTCACCCTAGAAACGTTTAAATGCTAATCCTGAAGAATCGAGCCTTCACCCTGCGAAGTTTTTATGATACAGCAAGCGGTTTCGCTTTACTTATCCGTGTGCTTAGGATAAGGGGTAACGTTATTCAGCCATTTCAAGTCGAGATCTTGAATTTTTTTTGATATTCTATCGGTTCTAAATTCGGTTTATTTTATTATATTTACTCCGCCAGCTTGGCTGATTCTGATTTTTTTGCTCGCATAAGGGTCCCCTAAACTTTTTAGGGGCGAGTTGACCCCTAAGAATCCGACCCCTGATCCGATTGTGACGATACAATCAATTTTTTGGAGCAGTTTGCAGTGTTTAATGAGACTAGGGAAGAGCATTCGAGTGGGGAGGGCGGCATAGCACCGTATCTCTAGCCTTTTGCAGGTCCCTGATGCCTCTTGTCATGAAAAGAGGGCCACATAGTCAAATAAAATAGGGGAAAGTGGCGTGTTTTTCAAAGTATTCGTAAAATGAATGATGAATAGACAATCGACCTGTTTATTGTAACACTTTCGCATACAGAGTGTCCCCAAAACCCTCAACTGGCGGTCCGCAGTCGATTCCCGATTTCCGCTATTTTTTATCCGATTCTTTATTATGCATTTTTATTCGCCTTATTTTAGCGTTCGCAAAATGATACCCAAGGGAACTGTGAATTAATTCCAGAGATACCCATGCTAATTACCCATAAACCCGGGAAATTCGTGTTGAAAACGTACCAGTTTTTTTAGAAAAACCTTAAATATCGATGGAATTAGATTAAATCTTGGAAAACGAAACCCGTTTGTTTTCCGCCTTTCCGAATGCTATCGATGGGTAGCTAAATCATAAAAATCGGACTTGACTGCAGACCCGCTAGGTAAGGGGGGGGCGAAGGGGAATTGGGACACCCTGTATATATCTTTAGCTACTTTCTTATTCTTTGCATGGGTTTATTTAGTTGAGACATACTGTGTTTTAGTAAGTTTCATATTTTCATGGTGCAGCTGAGGATTACAGAAAGGAAGGACAGATCAACCTGATGGACTTCTAATCACCTACGGCTCACATACGGGCCAATCCGAGTCGATCGCCGCCCAGCTAAAGGAGAAAATGCATGCTTCTCGGCATGAATCCACGCGTACATGTGCTTGAAGAGAATGAAAAGACGGTTTGCAGTCATCCCCGTCCACCAGCGCCTGCTTTTCAGTTCTTCATTGAAAATGAGCCGCTGGCCGTGACTCATCGTTCGTCGACGGGAGACGGAGATCCGCCAGAGAACGCTGCCGCTTTTTGAGGAGGATTTCCCGGCGAACCCTTGCCGACGATTTCCTGAAAAATGTGACTTATGCCCTACTAGGTGCTGTCGTTTCGCTGGGGTTTTTGTTATTCTAGCTCAAAACCTTTCTCTTCGTCCTCCCAGCGGAAATCACACTTACTATAGTGCTTACTTACATCTTGCAGGTCTCGGTGACTCAACTACTCGACTTACCAGGGTGTGCCGCGAAAATTTGACGAGCAATTGACAAAGCTCGGTGCCAAGAAGCTTATTCCCACTGGAGAAGCCGACGACGAGATTGCAGGTATTTCAGGATCGTTAGTATCTCCATTTTAGGCTCGAGCTCGTCGTTGAGCCTTGGATAGAACAACTGCTAAAGAAGCTTTGCGAGTTGGATCATATTCCGATCAGCCGCCTGGAAGGTCTGACGATCTCAACCCCCCTAGTCAAGAAAGAAAAGGAAAAGAAAAGCGTTGCCGAAAAGCCAAAGTTGCCGGCCGTCATGAGTAAGAACAGTTTTGTGTTCTTTTGCATTATCGGAGGCACCAGCTTTTCTTATGATCCATTTTTTTTAATATAAATAGTGGAAGTGTTTCGAACCGTTTTTATTATTCCGAAACGTGAAAAGTTTCCAATTTTTTATTAGAAGATATCAAAAATATCGATTTTTCAACCAAAAATGGCCGATTTTTTAACAAAGTTTCCACTTTTCAAAATTTTTTCCTAATTTTTTTAATGTCCTGGATGATGCGAAAGAACAAAATTTTTCAAATACTACAGCTGTTAGGTACGGAAGACAATCGAGCAGACAGTTCGGCGGATCCTATATTGAAGCTAGCCCCCTATACGTATCCTGATGAAATTTCATTGATTCGCGGTTTGTTGCGGGACGTTTTTTCAAATTTTTTTCTAGGCAACGAAGCATTATCCTCCGATGAGGCACTCCGTGTTCCGATTGCTCCGTTGACGTACCTTGTCACTTCGGTAACGCATGAAAATCCGAGCCGAAGTCTGTGGAACTGGCAAAATGGAATCAATGGTGAGTGGGTACATTTGATTCATTCCATGATTTCAGCCCGGCTTGCATGGAAAGCCGATGGATGCGACGGTGGTCGGGACGACGCTTCTCACCGATTTTGATGTACACAAACCCAAACGGGAGCTGATCATCGACCTCAATGCGCATTGGGATCAATTGAGGTTGGTAAAGACTTCGGTTCTGGACTGTTAGCGGTGGGTTGCTGTTTTTCCACCGATACCTACCTGTTGATAATATATAGCGTATTTTATAGTGTTTTTAGTTGTTTTTAATAGCTAGAAAGTTATAAATAACTTTAGAAATTTTCACTATTTTTTGACCAAAAGTTAAAGCTTTTAGAAAATTTTTATATTTTTTTTTGCAAAATTGCAAATTTTTTGTATCTAAAAACTATGTAAGATACTATAAAAAATCGTTTATATTTCGTTATAGGGCCGTGCGAAATTACTGACAAAAATTTACCCCCCCCCCGCTAAAAATCCAGAACTAAGTCTTCTATATTAATCTTTTCGCAGCTATTCTCCCGGCGACGCCTTCTATTTCCTACAGCCAAACCCGGAAGCGGAAGTGAACTTTATTCTCGAACGGTATCATTTGAACTGTTGCTTATATCGCTTCCTAGAATGGGGCTTCTGATGATGGCGGATCAAAAATGTCACGTGGTGGTGGCAAGCGACGCGAAGAAGCCGAACGCGGCTGTACCCGGTTACATTCCACCCATCTCTTCTCTACGATACATCTTTACGCATTGTTTGGACATTCGAAGAGCGCCTGGCAGGGTGGGCTCGTTTTACAGCTTTTTTCAAGAATTTTTATATTGCTTACTTTACGGAACATAGCGAATCAGTACATGCAAGTAATTTGAACGTGAAAAAATATTTTCTAAAATCATTATATTCATGGTTTAGCCGGTGTTGCGTGTCTTCGCTGACGCCACCTCCGATGAAGGTGAAAAGAGACGCTTGCTCGAGCTCTGTTCCTCCCAGGGCATGGCTGAATTCACCGCCCATGTTCGACAAGTACGCCCTTTTGAGCCGTAGATGTCCAATCTAATTTCAGGCGGCCGTCTCAATCGTCGATGTGCTGGCTGCATTCCCGGGTGTTCGCCCCGCGCCAGAACGCTTGATCGGTCCGGTCCTACCTTTTCTGTAATCGCAGAACTTTTAGAACAACTGCCACGCTTGATTCCACGGCCTTACAGCGTATCGAATTGCTACGAGCGCGCTCGGGGAAGGATCCGTTTCGTGTATTCAGAAGTGTGCCGTTTTGACAATCCATTACCACTATTTTAGATGAAATTTGGTGTTGCTGATGGACGCCGGTACGAACGGCTCGGGCTCGCCACCGAATGGTTAAACGCCTTGAGGGTTGGCGAGCAGATTCAGGTGTGTTTACGATCATTTCATCAACTTCCATTAGGTCATGATGAAAGAACCAGCCAGATTCCGATTTCCGGTTCCACCTGCAACTGTAGAGGCCGGGCTCAAGATGCCGCTTTTGATGATCGGGCCCGGCACTGGCGTCTCTACATTCATTTCATTTTTGGATTTATTGCTGTAATCGTTGCTGTTCCCAATAGTAAATTTCGTTTAGACATGAGAAAATTAAGAGCGGTTCTCTACCGGCTGTTCCGAGGAAGCTTTTCTTCGGCTGCCGCAATTTCGAGAAGGATTTTATCTACAAGTGATAACCTAATTGTAAGCCCCATCATTTCTTTGCAGAGATTTGCTCGAATCCTATGTTCGCGAAGCTATTTTGGATGAGCTGATTGCCTGTGAAAGTCAACCAGCGAAACCCGTACCAGGCCGCCATTGCTACGTCCAGGAAGCACTACGGCAGCGCGCTGATGAGGTCAGGAATAGGAACGTTAAAAACTATATGCAAATTCTTTAGGTCTGGGACTTTATTCAACTCGAGGAGTCCCGGATTTTCATCTGCGGCGATGCAAAAGCGATGAGTAAGGACACGTGGGAGTGTTTTGCAAAGATAGTGGCAGAGAAGAAAGGTATTTCGTGGCTTTAATTCTGAAGCCAGGTTCTTTTAGGCTGCTCAGACGCCGAAGCCAAGGCTTTCCTGCTCGAGCTTAAGAAAGTGAATCGATACATTGAAGACGTTTGGGCCTGAGACATCTAGAAGTCTAGCTTGTGAGCATTTTTAGAAAGATGAAACAGATGTTGTTATTTTCCATTTTTCGGTGCCTTGCCAATTTGTGATATGTTTTTTTGTTGTTGCGATCAATAAATTTTGCTGTACGTTGTCCGCGTTTAATATGGAATTGTTTGTCGATCAACTTACCCACAGACCCAATCAAACATTCGCTCAATTTTGTTCAGCTGGATGCGCAACTTGCGGGTAACGTCAGCGCTTATATCGCAAGGATCGATAGATGAAGGTAGACTTTCTGCTCGTTGCGATCATCAGCCTTTAGACGTCGAAGGATTTGCGGACGATTTCTTTACTGGAGCTGCGTTTGTGGCGACACGCAGTAAACTTCTGTTTTACAATAAGGAATTAGAGGTGACATTTGGCTTGACAGAAAAATAATAACTTGCTTTTAGCAATGCGGCTCATTAGACTGGGAAGATGAAAGAAGCGGGATGAAGTTGGTCGACTTGACGTTTATGTCAGACACAAATGATGTGGTAGCCATTTTTGACAATGGGCTGGTTTATACCGCTTCGGCGGAAACAATGCAGGTATCGAGTATTGGCCCCACCGGAATCCTCAGATTTAGCCTGTAGACGAGCCTGGTCTATTGGGATGCGAGGTCCAGGCGGCGTCCTGGAGCCCTGATGGCGATGCACTGGTCGTTGTCTCCGGGGATATGATTTGCTTTTTCGGTTTGTTGGAAAATAACTGATCCTCTTGGCTGGGAGTGGGGGGGACGGGGGGCTTTTCGCAAGAGAAACGAACTTTATTTATTCAGCCTAACTCTGATATTAAAAAGCTTTCGTTAATACATTGTAAAGAGATTAAATTTTGTTTTTGGCATCATAAATTTTTGACCAGCAATTAAATTCGTGAAAATATTGATGTAATTTGTTTGAATGGTTGTGTTTAAAAAGGCTTCCAATGCTATTAAACCAGTTTTTATTTCGTTTCATACGATCCGATGCGAAAAATTTTCTTCAGTCTAAATCCTCACCCCCCCCCCCCCGCTAACCAACTAAACCCATTTAAATTGGTATCGTTGCAGATCGATTACTGACCGCTGTTTCTGAACGACCGCTCTACGGAGAAGACGTCGGTAAAGATGAATTGGTGACGGTCGGCTGGGGCAGCAAGGAAACTCAATTCCAGGGTGCGGCAGGCAAGGTAACGCTTTTCTCTGATGCCTTATACTTTACCCTAGGTGGCCCGCGAAAAGCGCACCGTCAACCGGAAAGCTCTGCCCGATGACTCTGGCCGGCCATCAATCTCATGGCGAGCTGATGCCCAACATGCCACCATCTCGTATTTGGATGTGCCCACTGAGGAGCGGCGCGTCGCTGTAACTCCAATTTCCGAGATTACCTCCTTATTTAGGTTTATAGCCGGGAGGGCGAGCTGATGAGTCGATTGCGCAATGAATTCCCGCTGGAGGAAGGGGTGGCTGTGAAGCCTGTTGGGAATTATATCGCCACCACGAAGCGACTGGACGACGGTTAGCTGGTATCGCTTTGGTTGAAAAGATGTTTAGGCTCTCGCTATTTTGCATTTTTCGAGCGAAACGGTGAACCAAGACATGAGGCGAAAATCCACGAAGGCCAACGTGAGCCGTAGACATTTCGCGTGGGAATTTGAGGGCAATATACTGGCGGTGGAGGTGGATGATGGCGAAAAGTCTTACTGTAAGTCAGCCGATTTTAAGTGAGCCGACTACTGTTTTGTTTAGTGGAACTGTGGACGGTTAGCAATTATGAATGGTCCCAGAAGTTGCGAATACCATTTGAGAAAGGTTTGTTTCATCTTTGTGGCCCCAATGTCGGCACTTTTAGGATTGGCCGCTTGGCATTGGTCGGCCGTGACGGCCAGACGGCTTTGGGCAAGCAGCGGAGGACGAGTATACCGATATGACTTGATTTTCGAATACAACGTGTCCGGTGGACTTGCAGTCGTGGTGGCCACAGGTGCGACATTGGGACAAATCTCGAATCTTGCTTTAGACACGCTGAAAGTCACCGATTTCCTCGAAGGCTCCCTATCACCCACCGCCGATGAGCCACTTCACCGTTCCAATACACCGCGGCATCCAACTGCTCGTTTGCAATTTCGGATACATGAGCGTTGTCTACGACGATTTTTCGATCGAATCCTGTAAGTGACAATTTTCCATTTTTGATTGTCCCTTTTAGGGAGCGCGCAAAATGGCCGCTTCGAAAGCCACTTCTGCACACCTGCTGCTGGATTGGAAACGAATCGAGCCGAGGCTCTTACGCTGGGATTCACTCGGCTGACGGTGCATTGTACCTGGCCGGACCTTCCAAAATCGGTTCTCGTCCACCGGGTCTATCCGGATCAGGGCACGGAAATGTAAGCATCTTTAAAACGGTTCTTTCGCAATATCGGGGGAGCAATTTTTTCTTCTTCTTCTTAGGTTTCAAATATAATTACTGGGAGTTTCTAAGTGCGTTTTTAACTATGCCTGGATGTGAAAACGATACAAATTTTGTTAAAAACATCAAAAATATGGATTTTTGGGTGACCAAGAATCGGCCGATTTTTGAAAATTTCCGATCTTTGTAAACTGTAGATTGTTTTTCTAGTTTAAAGTTCAACCCTTCAAAATTGACTTTTCAACTATTATCTATTCCCATTTTATCCTTCAGTTTGCATAATTGTCCTATTCAAAAAAAAAATGAAAATAACCTCTCCCATCCTTTAAACCCCAATCCCTAAATTATAACAAAGAAGTTTCACAAAAGCTTAAATAAATTGCAAAATGGATTCCCAAAGGACTTATAATAAAATATTCCATTTCCCTCCCGGACAGACAGAAACAGACACAGACACACACACACACACAGACACACCTATTTTTTTTTTATATATAGTGGGATGAGGTTTTTTTTTCTACTATAAAACATAAGTTACAAGACATTAAGACTTCCTATTAAGTTACAAGACAATTCTAGAATTATACAAAAAAGTCTGACCGATAATGCGAAAGAAGGGAAAAATAACTTTTTTTCTTTTTCTAATTTACAATTAGTTACATGAAAATACTTTCATTAGCTAATTCCTTTAGATTGTTGGAGTTCCCACGAAATATCATCGAGACGTCCATCAACCCCATCGACGGGCGCCCTATCGTAATGCTGGACGATGGATCAGTAATTTCTCTCGAAAACGAGAAGCTCTACAATCTCCCGGAATGCCTGTCTTGCCGCAACGCTAGTTGTGGAGTAAGCCAAAAAACTTGTAAAATATTTTCTTCAGGACAAGCTGATCTCCTTATCACCGGCCCATATCCTCTATTCGGATGGGAAGCTGCTGTTCCACGACATTTCGTCTTTCGTCATCAGGGGCAACCTGGTATTTGGCATTCACGAGCCATAGAATTCGGATCCTTCTTCCAGTTAATCTGTGTCACGATGGACTCGAAGTTACGGATATACGACCGGAGCTTCACCAGGTATCGCCAGGTGGATAAAGGTGCGTTCTGGCGTTCACATCGCAGAAACACCCCATCTAACTTGACGCCGGTGTGGCGGATCGGTTCGATAGTTACACCATTGAAAAGCCCCTGAAACGGCGAGTTTGCAGCAATCTTCAAAATCATGTTTTATGTAAAGCCGCTATTTTGCAACTGATTTGATAAAAGTTTCCGGTATTTCGGGGTTAAATGAGAGCTAATTTTGCCTTGATGTATCCATGCAAAATGACCGGAAGTAGCCGTTAATACGCTTCGAAGGTCGTTCCTTGGGGTTTTGAATGCGCTGTAAAGATGGCTGGTTTGATAAAAAGAGCATTTGAAGATTGTTGGAAACTCTCGCCGTGCCA